ACGGGCCGGGCCGGGCCGAGCCGGGCCGTTCGTCATCTTTGACGGCCGCTGCAGAGCCGCCCCGGGCTTCTGTATGGGCATGGCGAGGTACGCAGTGCGGCGTGGCAGTGGCAGTCCCGTTAGGGCACCAGGAGCACCGGAAGTAGCGCCTGCCAATATGGCCAAAAGTCGCTTGCGAGTTATTTTCATTTTTAAGGACGTGGGGTCAGCTGCAAAGTTTATAGTTCAAGGTGCTAAATTTCGTATTAGTAGAATTTGTCAAATACAGTTGACATTCTTGCAAATTTGTTAGTTAAACTTTTTTTATTTTCCCGTATACGTACGTATATACGGAGTAATATATGTAGTATAGGGAAAGTTATGTAATGCTCAAATGAATTAAGAGAAGTGCATTACAGCGCTCTAATCTCTTAATCTACTGAACCGATATCAATGAAACGTTTGTCCTAGTTTCCTTTATAAGTCTGGAGTTCTATAGACTATGATTTACAACGATATGCCTTAAAAATAATTACTTTTCAGGACATATTTTTATAGCTTCAAGCCTCACAGAATGAATGGTGCGTCAGTGTCAATAGTTTAAGTGCGCGCCGCCACAGAATAACGACAGAGATCTACGACTGAGTTTATAAATGCACAAAATTGGATTTCTGCTGTATATGTCAGGACTGTGTTGATTTTACCGTCATTTCAATCATTTCAATGTTCATTTTTAAGAATGATTTGACTGTTTTTCTTCTATCTATTTAAGTAAGTATAAAGTAACTTGGATATTGATTACAATTCCGTCTATTCCGTGAATATATTAAGTGTACCAGAGAGAACTATGAAAAGTTAGGAAAACGACATTTTGCTGATGGATGATTGATATTGTATGTATTAATGGATGATTGAAAATGTATTAATGCACACACGTGTTCTATATGAAACAGTTATTGGATTAGTTGAAGTGCATTAAGCTTCTAACGTATTTGCAAGTTGCACAAGTAAAATCAAAACATATTATGAATGATTTACGTGTTATACAGAAACTGTGACGGATGGATGAATTTTTGTAAGGAAGTATTTTATTATAGTGGAGAAAGCTTATATTTGGGTGATGGAGGAATGATTATTTAAATTGATGAAAGTTCGGCAAGAAGAAGTATAACTGAAGTAAAAGAGTAATGAGAAATACAAGGAATTAAATGCGTGTCAATTGTTTTTCAAGGTTGTTGAAAATACCACAAAAGAGATCTTTTAGATATCAAAAAACTTTGGTCAAGCCGGAATGTACTGTGTGATCCCGACGTTTTGGAGATATAATTCTTCAAGTTGTTAATGCCACCTTTCCGTCTGCCACTACTTGTCAAGGACCCTAAATCGGGTATTCGAATTCAATTAAAAGCACTTTATATTTATTTTTGAATTACCTCGGCGTAGAATTAAAGATCAGTTTCAAACTTTTCTCAATAAATACGCGAGAAGGAAAAAAAACATGACAAAGAATAGGTTTACAATTTGGCAACTAATGACTATAATATATAAAATCCATATAAGCAATATGTCGGTACAAGTATTTTCTTTTTTGTTTAGATTTGTTCATTATTTTTTGTTATAAAGTGATTGAAGTTTGGAGCCGGGAACCACAATTGAAACATAAACATTTCAGTGAGAAACTGAGTAAGGAAGGTAAGGTATTTCCTGGTACGAGCAACGTAGAGAGACGTTGGGCAAGACGGAGCAGGGATACAATAGAATAGATACAAGTAGGCTCCGCGGCAGGGTGAGAATAGATGGATAACCTCTCCCTGTCTAATACATTACTCTGAAAAATACCCCGGCAACGCAGGGTACTTCAGCTAGAAAATAATATAGATTCATTATTCTACATTTAGCATACAGATTGTTACGTAGAAAGTTGAAGATCCTTCTTAATGGTTAAAAACATGTTTCTAAAGGCGATCATTATCGCTCACAGGTGATAAAATACTTTTTTGTTTACCAGCATTGTAAATGACCGTTTCTGTTGCCAGAAATCGTTCATAAAAGGGCATTTTACGGCACAAATAATGACGTATTAGCATTTTATGGCGTGAATTATTGCGTCATCACACATTCAGGCAATCGCAACAAGAGAATCGCGGGGAGGTTGCGATAAACTGAACAGCCGACCAACGTTTTCTCGCACAGATGTCAAATACCCGAGACGTCATTAAAAAGTTATTTCGCAAAATAAAGTTTGAATATCTTATAAATTTATAATGCCGTTGAACAAAAAATAGCGTACGTGTATAATGTTGCCTAATTGCATTCGTACAAATTTGAAAACTCCTAAGGTAGCTCGTTTTCAAATCACATATTCGTGCAATAAAGTTTAACATTATTAACTAATTGAATAATGTACAATTAACTACTCACGTGTGTGCTCAGGATAGCTTACGACGCACTCGTGGACACTGTGATGGTGACAAAAATTAGTATTTAACGTGCCGTATTGTGTCATTTTTAAGTTGTATTTCATTAAAACGGATGGAAAATAATGAAATCAACTATTATATTCGATGATAATTCTGTTTCACTGTTTTGTTTAATTCATTTAAATTTTAGCTGTGGAGAAATATATTTACATATTGTAATTTTTTCACTGTATTACTTGGTTTAAACGAAGATATTTACCATTAAAACTGGATCGACCTCGTAGTTGCTTC